AGTTTTGCTTCTTAACGCAGAATATTTACCGTATTTTTTATTTTGTCATTAGGGTGACCATTTTGACATGGAAATTTGTTTTTTTTTATGGTTTTCATGGTTTGTAGACAGAAGGCGTAATATGTTTTATAATTTTCTTTGAGATCCTAGACAACCGCCCATGAAATCAAAAAAGCCCATGTTCGTCACTGACTGCATTATCACTGATAAATGACATGGCATCCTTTAAAGATCATTTTCATTTCATGATAGTGGCAAAAGCTGTTTTGTCAATATCGTCGTGAACGCTCGTGATTACCCGCTGCCTTAGATGCAAGATCTTGAGAGTTTCCCGAGCTCTGCAACTGTTCCGAAAATAGCACATAATTTGTCAAACTAGCAATGCTTCACTCTTTGAATAAATCGTGCTCAAAGTTTTCGGAGTTATTCCATTGGTGTGAAGCAATGCATTAGAACTGAGCTAATCTGAAGCTATGAATACGAACTTATTATAATGAAACAGAGAAGGGTTAGTAATTTCCAATTAATTCCACTACCTTATTTGCTTATCCTTGACAGATACGTGTATTTCGTCTACAATGTGCAGACTTCTTCAGTATCTTGTACTTATACTCGAGTACAAGACACTGTAGAAGACAGCACATTGTAGACTGTCAAGGAGAAGCAAATAAGGTAGTGAAATTAAATGTAAATTACAAATCCTTATTTTTTTTTTTTACTTTATACTGTTATTCCACTATAGACAGCGGTGCCGGTGATGTAGTGGTAAGCGTGATTGCTCCTCACCCAAAAAGGCCTGGGTTCAATCCCAGTCGGCACCGCCGGGATTTTCTGAGGCTTAAAATTTCTGACCATGCTGATGGGTTCGATTCCCGGTCCGGCTTAGGAATTGAAAAATTTCTCGACTTCCCGGGGCATACAGTATATAATTGACACACAATTATACTACTTACTCAATAAAAACAATTTTAGGGGTCACTCAAAACCAGTATAAAACGTGAGCCATCAGAGGCAGAGGGTATGTTTCTTAATATAGGTTGCTTTAAATTAATTGTTTTACAACTTTGTTTGAAAAGCCTTTCTAAAATATTTTGAAAGTTGATATTTAGATCTCACTTACCATAGGGACCATCCTAATCTATTTAAAATCAAAAGATTGGCTACAATAAAAAATAACCTTCACGAAGACACTGTTGACCTAAAACCAATGAATTTAGCATCAGGCCTGAACATACTCATTACAGCTAAAATACTACGTTTTGAAATTTTGAAACTATGAGATATTATAATAAAAATTTGTATATGTAAGATGCAAGTAGAGGAGGTGAGTGTGTATGACACATAAAATCTGTCAATTCCGCTTCCAGAGTGTCACAATTAGCGATTAGCTATAACGAATAGTATTCACCCATGACGATTACTCATTACAGCTAAAATAGCTAATTGGGACACTCTGAAAGCAAAATTAGCTGGTTTTTTGTAGCTTACATAAACTTTACCACCACTTCTTGCATCTTACATATAAAAACTATTATTTTAATATCTCATAGTTTCATAATTTCAAAAAGTAGTATTTTAGAGCTGTAATGATTTTTTTTGTTTTTTTTTGTTTATTAAGGACATTTTACATCTCCGCCTGTTTGGCACACTTAAGTATTTCCCGTTAACTTCGTGAGGAAGTTACAAGAAACACCCGGGAGAATTTGAAAGAATCTTCCGATCGAAGGAACCCGGAAGTCAAAAGAAACTTCACTATTTTCAGAAGAAGGAAAGTGACCATTTAAAATTATATGTAGACCACCCCCCCCCCCCCTCCCGCTTTAGGTCACGTCTTCTTTCGGAAGGGAAGTTACACCGTTGGTCCCGGCCCATGTGGGTTTGAATGGGTGCGATATCCTACGCTGGTCAGCTGCCTTCCTGCATATTCGATTGCCGTCAATGGATGGCAATCGATGTCCGTCGGTGATTGGCACTAGATTTCGGAACAGAGACCGACGTTAAATAAAGGAAAGAATGTTCCGCTAGCCTGCACACGCGCCATAAACAGTTCACAATCCAATGGTAACAGAAAAATTCAATGCCAATTCGCAAAAAATACTGAAAGAAAGCCTCCTCAATAGTCGGAGTTGGTGTAATTATCTGTGCACCACCGATTTATTACATACGCTGACCACTCCGAGCGATCTTGCAATAAAACACTTTATTAGACATCAGTCAACCAAAACTTGTCTATACACGAACCGCTCGTAGACGAATGGGCACTTTGGCTTACCCGGCACTTTGATTGTATACACAGGAATCCCCCGAAGAGTGCGGAGGGTAATTTGAATTTCTTACCGCTGTGTTTAGATTGTTTCCCAACCAATCGGGATGTTTTTTTTCTCATGTCATGTTTCAATCCTAAACTATTTCACCTTTGAAAATTCAGTACAGTCGATAAAAACTAACTAAGTAATTTGAAATCCAACCGCACTGTTCGGGGGATTCCTGTTGCATTTTGTACATATACAGCCATGTGCACAACGCACTGTATCTGGACATTTATTATAATCGATCATTTTTTTCGGCAACTATAATTATGCGCTGAACTTCTTTTGAAGGTGAGCACACCGAAATATGAGTAGAGTAGTATTTCGTTACTTCGTTAGTGTTATTGTTTGGCAGCATTCACTGTAGACCCTTGCGCATGCTTCGGCTGGCCACGACGTAACCACATGAACTTTCTCAATATGGACAATATGCGTTGACCCAGATAGAGCGTTCTTGAAGAAGGTTTAGGTGGCACGAGTTGGCAAATTTCGCTTGCCGAAATTATATTAATTTGTTGGGTAGTGTCCTTCCCAACTAACAATTTTAGCTGCAGATTAGCTTATACAGCCAAAAATTGGCTTATACAGCTAATTTTTGCCTGTATAAGCTAGTCTGCAGCTAAAATTGTTTGTTGGGTTTATTCATTCATGAGCTAAGTTTAAGACTCTTGAACATAAGTTCCATTTATCTAGAATGGTAAGTTTATTGACATTACGGCCTAGTTGGTTACTTCCCTCCCGATGGACATGGAGGTTGACGGTACTGAAGCAAAGGGTTATGTTTAATTTCTTTATATTTGCAACGACGATATCACCTTCTTAATGCTTCAGTATGCCTCAAACGATTAATTCTTAGTTGTTCATAGAACTTCCTTCTTGAAACCGGTGCTTCATGCAGACTGAGTAATTCTGATTATAGTATCAGATTAGTTGTGTATACAGAGGAACTGGTAGGGCTTATTAGAAACTTCTCACCAATAAAGTAATGATCTTCTAGTAAATTTTGCATCTCATTTTATTTTATTTTAGCCTATTATTTTTGTTACAGTCAATTGGCATTAGCATACGATACAAAAGATTTAATATTACTTGCTCGTTTTTGCGTAAAATAATCAATATTTATTTTACTTGTTATTACCATTAAATGTTTTTGATAGATTTCCCAGTTTGGTTATAACGCATGTCCACAGGCCTAATAGAAAAATAGGCAGGCAGAAAAAGTGTATCATGAAGAATGGTTGCATGCACTTGCTATAGATGAGTGATTTTCGGAGTTTTGATTTCGTTAGATGTTGTAGTGGAGATTTGTGTTGTTGGATACGGAAGGAGATTGGAGCCTGTCAGTTTCGCTTTCAGAATTTCGCAATCAGCGGTTTTATAATTCGTGAGCGCTCGCGATTCGTAGAATCGTTGACTGTGACTGCAAGTGGATTTGACAGGTTTTGTGTGTCGGGCGCTTGCCTTTTGGCCTCTTCTTGTGTCTAACATGTGCAGAGTATCATTATAGGTCTAATGGTTTTGAGATTCCTGGGCGCGTGAAATACATTTGTGAGAATATGTTTTTATTGATAGTTTTGTTTGTAGTTTATATTTTATTTCTTTCATGTAATTATCGTAAATAAAAGTTATTCAATAATAGCAAATTCATCCATGTATTCAATAATAAATTTAAGAATGACTATAATTTGGATACCTAACAATTGAACAGAATCACTAGCAAGAATAGGTTGCGGAGTGTTCACCTTCGAAAATACCGATACGTTTTTCAGGGTTGTAGTTTTGGTTTTCATCAGTGGTCCGGCTCTGGTTGTGAACGATTTAGGCAGTATTTTTATGTAACTATTTTGCTTTTAGCACCAGTTTGCTTCTACGAATCCTAAAAAGACATTACATTTGAGGCGGATTCTGGTACGGAATTACAGGCTGCTATTTTGAGCAACTTATCGTCATAACATTAAAAATTACATTTAGGTATTAGTCAACAAATTTGCATAGTAAGTTAGATATGTTATGGTATGAACTTTTGCAACGTTTTTTATTTGTTTTTTTTTTAGTTAATTATTCTTGAACGCAGTTAAAACTAGGAGATGAGGAAGAAATATAATCATTTTGTGCAAACACACATAAAACACACACATACACACGCACATACACACGCACACACACAAACACATCATGACATTGGACAAGAAAACATCCAGACATTAAAACTGACGTACGAATGAGAAGAAGACATAGACAAAGACAGACCAGCGATTACCGAACCATAAAGATTTTCAAGAAGATTATGATTAATCAAGATCGTGAATCCGGTGTTTAATTGGTTATCATAGACTAATCCGTCCGGCATCGTAGACACTTGAAAATTTTTCTCATCAACCCCGATCATTGCAATCCTACGGGGAGAAAAAAAAATAACGGTTACTTTTTTCAGATTGATGATATTCGGAAATCAGGAAATAGATTTTGCTCTACCACGTAATTTTAAGTAATATCCTCGTAATAAAAGATAAACATGCTTAAATGGTAAGCTTTTATCGTCACGATCCAGTCACGTTGCGAATAGTGAAAACTCACTGCTTGATTGGACATGATTATGCAAATTAGACGCTGTTTGTTTAAAGTGATCAATCATTCAGCGGGCTTGAGAACTTCAGCTTTAACTCAAACATTCCACTCTTATCATTGCAGAAGGCAAAACCGAAGAATAAGGTCGTCATTCGACCTCCGGCCAAACCGTTCATCAGTGGACACCTGTGGAAGCCACCGACGATTCTGAACAGAATGCCAGAACCGGAGGGTGTCAAGCATATGCTTGAGATGGACAAAGATCTGCCACCGAAGATCTTAGAGGTAGCTTGCAAGCAGGGTGAAGATCCGGAGAAGACATGCCAGAAGGTTCAGGAGCTGAGGGATATGATTTACGGTTAGTTGAAGTTGAATTGTTGTGTCGGGAAATGAAACACGGTGAATCATAATGATACTTTTTATTATTACAGAACGAGGAGGCTGTCAACCCCACCGGATGGATGATGATTACCTGATAAGATTCCTAAGAGCTCGCTTCTGGAAGGTGGAGAACGCTTACAAACTGGTATGATCTTTCTACCAAATTCCTAAATTAGTTCAATCCTATAAACCTGATTGATTGCAGATGTGCCGATACTATCAATTCCGGGATAGCAACGTAGAGCTTTACGAGAACGTTAATCCCATGACGCTTCGGTCACTCGGGGACGACAATATTATGTCGATCTCACCCTACCGCAACCAGGAGGGTAGGCGTGTGCTGTTTTTCAAATTTGGCAACTGGCGACCATCAAAGGTTCCGGTGAATGATCTCTTCAAAGCGACACTTCTAATGTTGGAAGTAGGCTCTCTAGAACCGGTGTCCCAGGTTGTTGGTGGAGTTGGCATCATGGACATGGAAGGTTTCTCACTGAACCACGCATGGCACATGAGTCCATCGGTGGCACAGAAGATCATCGCTCTACTGGTGGTAAGCATCTACGAAGCTGTGGAAAGGCACCACCAATTATTTTATTAATTAATTAAAACTCCAGACTTGTATGCCAGTTCGGACTACGGAGATCCATATCGTAAACCAGGGTTGGGTATTCGATACCGCTTTTCAGGTGTTAAAACCTATGCTGAATGATCGAATGCGGGAACAGCTTTTCTTCCACGGTACGGATCGGGCGTCGCTGCACAAACACATCGATCCGGAGTTCCTTCCGGAACGATACGGTGGTACGAAACCGGAGTATTCGTACACCTATTGGTTAGATCACCTATGTGGGATTGAGAAGGTGGTTCACGAGTTGGAACAGCTGGGGTATGTGGCTGATCCAGCCAGCGAGGAATAACCAAAGCACACGTTTAAACGTGGTGACGTGTCTGTGATCTATCAATATGCGACTGCTACACGATTTGCGATTTGAGTAAATAGTTTTATTGATGGGGTTTCCTGTTCTTAGGGTATAGAATGAAGGTAGCGTCACTTTGGACGAATTTTGTGCCTTTTTACAGTGGGAGCTAGCATTCCACTGCAATAGATTTTGTACAAATATACACGAAATAATAAATTTACGTAAAATCGAAGGGCTGGCTGTCTATTAAAAAAAGCTATCACAGCACTATCTATCCGTCAATAAATGTATATGTTTATTGGATTAGTTGTCAATTTAAATGATTTCTGCATAATCGATTCGAACAACTATGATATTTATGCTCGACTTTCTAATTCCACTTAGAATGCAGACACAAAAAACCAGTTGATTTATTTGACATAAGAAGTATGTAGCTTTGATGAAGACCGCAACCCAGAGATGTCATGGTAAATTTGGCACTTGATTTACCCCCCTTGCAAGAAATAAAGATAAGTATTTTTTTTCAATAACTGGTTACTCTGGACATCACTGAGTGAGTCAAATTTTCCTCAAAAATGTACTCAAATATGACAAAAATCGAGAAAAATTTACCCAGCCTATACGACCGATAAAAGCTACACAATATGTAAGTCGAAATCAACTCACAATTACATTACATTGCGTAGCGCCATTGGGCACTGTAGGGATAATCGTTAAACAAATTCAAAGTGAGCGCCGTTTAAATGCAATTTCAACTATTCAACGGGGTTCTTCGGTATTCAAGAAGTTTTTCCTATAAAATCAAGGAAAAATTTACTCTATTACTAAGTACCCTCTTTTTTGCAAATTTTGAGACAAATTCGACTCAAAAGACGTAATATTTTTCTTTTTTTCACGCATATTTTTGAGGAAAATTTTACTCACTTTCTACTATTTTGAGAGAAATCCTACTCAATTTTGAGTTAGTCTCATCGGCCGTGCACGGCGTCTAACGATGTGTTAGCGTTAGCGTTGTTATGATATACTTCGTAGATTGGATACTAGCGACACTCACGTCTCTTCTGGAATTCTCAGTTAGACTACTTTCAGGAATAATGCTGAGGAGTAAACATTGGTTCCAATCTAAACAAGAGTAACAGTAGCATGACCATAGAGGTAACTCTAAGACCAGCAAGTATAAGTGCTACGGAGTTGGAGGGTTGGGAAGGGTATTCGGTTAGGATTCACCTCAAGTTGGCGATGCAACCAAAAGTATGTATTGTTTATTTGCTGTTTATTTAATCTCTCGATAGCCGGCTATCGAAAGAACATATTCATTTTGTTTAGTGATCATGAATTTTAAGAGTCATGACGGAGAGCTTGGGATTAAACCCATGATTTTCTGCTCAGTAAGCAAAAACGATCCCTCCAGGGTCATCGAGCATCTCAGAACCATAACGCTTCGCAAAAATACAGGACTACGTTTTCGTCTGATATGCAAATAGTTTCCGAGGATAATGTTCAATATCAAATATACAAATGATGGTGGCGATTTATTGTGCTGTGGAAGAGCTTGGGGTTAAATCCATGATTTTCTGCTCAGTAAGCAAAATCGATCCCTCCAGAGTCATCGAGCATCTCATAATCCAGAGCGCTTCGCATCAAAGTACGAAGATATGGATAAAACACAGACAAACAGACATAACACTCAAAAGTTGTTCATCGAACAACCATTTAACGGAAAATTTAAAAGTATCGTAGTTGGTAGTACCGCCACCTGTGGCGCGCATAGTCAATTCCCTTGCATTTGACGTGTACACACTACCACCATCTGTTCAGCGTAGTGCCCACCACAGTGTACTCAACAGATGGCGGTAATGTTTTAGCGACGATGTTTTACAGTGAAAAATATTCAATGTGTTATGTCTGTTTGTCTGTGGATAAAATATCTATTATTGAATAACTATTATTTACGATAATTACATGAAAGAAATAAAATATAAACTACAAACAAAACGTGACTACTAAAATCTCAATAAAAAAATATTCTCACAAATGTATTTCACGCAACCAGGAATCTCAAAACCATTAGACGCTATAATGAAACTCTGCACATGTTAGACACAAAAAGAGGCCAAAAAGCAAACGTCCGACACACAAAACCCGCCAAATCCACTTGCAGTCACAATCAACGATTCTACGAATGGCGAGCGCTCACGAATCATAAAACCGCTGACTGCGACACTCTGAAAGCGAAATTGACAGGCTCTATGCGTCAAACACCCACCCTCCAATATCCTCCTGCATCCAACAACACAAATCTCCATTACAACATCTAACGCATTCAAAACTCCGAAAATCACGCATCTATAGCAAGTGAGTGGAAGCAACCCTACATGCAACCACAGACAAACAGACGTAACTCTTTGAGAAAGTTTTTCTTGAAAACATAGTATCTCAAAACATAGGACATAGTGACATCTTTCATGCTTCTCGCGGAAAACAAGCATGCTTGCTAACTCGCAAACAATATTGCATAAAAGTTCTATAGAATGTATAGAAACGTCAAAGTGATCCGATGCCAGCGCTGCGGCGAGTAGTTCGCGGATCTGATAATATTCAAATCAACCGTTAAATGCGTGAACGAAGATACACAATGAAGAGTTACGTCTGTTTGTCTGTGATGCAACCATGCTTCATGATAAACTTTTTCTGCCTATCTTTCTATTAAGCCTGTGGACATGCGTTAGCTTCGAAACTTCTAACCAAACTGGAAAAATTTTCAAATCAAAAAAAAAAAAAACATGAAAAAAACTTTCAAAGGTTATTACAAGTAAAATAAATTTTGATTATTTTACGCAAAAACGAGCAAGTAATATTAAATCTCTTTTATTGTATGCTAATGCTAATTGACTTAAGGATTAAGGACTTAAGATTGGTGAGAAGTTTCTAATAAACCCTTCCAGTTCCTCTGTACAGAACAAATCTGATACTATAATCAGAATTGCTCAGTCTGCATGAAGCAGCCGATTTCATCAAGGAAGTTCTATTAACAACCAAGAATTAATCGTTTGAGGCATACTGAAGCATTAAGAAGGTGATATGTGTCACTATAGGAAATCATCATCGTTGCAAATATAAAGAAAATAAACATAACCCTTTGTTTCAGTACCGTCAACCTCCATGTCCATGGGGAGGGCGTGCACGGCGTCTAACGATGTGAACCAATTATAACCGGACGTGAAAATCTAATACAGCTAATATACTATAGAGGAAGAATAGCGCTGGTGTTCCCTTTGTTGTGATGTTGAATAATACCGGGTACAGAACTGTCAAACTGCATAGTTTTTTCTCGCTTTGACAGTTGTGTCCCTATTAGATGTAAGGAAAAGATGTTTCGACAGCGACGGCAGCGCTATTCTTCCTCTATAGTATATTAGCTCTATTTAAAATCTCTATAAAAATCAATGACCGATTTCCAATCGTTCCTTTTCAGCGGCAACCGCAGTCGCAGCTATAAAACTCCTTCAAGTAGGCACCACTGGTGCATGGTAGGCTCACGGCCGATGAGACCTCATGTTCGAGCAGATTTTTTTTTCAGTCTATGAGAACACGATTTAGCTATAGTCGCTATATTTATAGTCTGGCGGATAGAATTTTGATCTTTCAAAAACCGGAACCAGTTCAATATATCGTATACAAACAATTGAAAAGGTACTACCAACTTCTATAAACAAAACTTTGATAGTTTTTTCCTCGCCAACGCAAATTAACAGCATCATCGGATAGGAGAAACTTTCCCCAACCCGATGATGGTGTTGGTTTACGTAGGCGAGTTTTGAATCACGAGAAAGGGGTTTCCAAACCTTTGTTCGCAAACGCTTATATGCTCTTCTATGTTGTTGGTCGTGATATGATCAATTGGTTCCCGAGATTCTATCCGCTAGCCTTTAAATATAACGACTATAGTTTAAGTGATTTTAGTGAATTTGAGTTGGTTTAATCGGTCGTGAGTTGAGGTACTCGTGGTGTCTCGACTGAAATGATGATGATAATGCACTGGCGATGAGATTGACCCAACATTGAGTTGAATTCTTCTCAATTTGGCTAAAAGTGGATTTTCTCACAAAGTCAATGTCATTTTTCGAGCTGTTCCAGGAAACCCTACTCGAATGTGACGAAAATCGAGAGAGGTTTAACTCAGTCTATTAGTATTCTCCTAACTGAGTACAATTTCTGTCGTTTTTCGCCATAATCAAATTTACTCGAATTCAACTCAATTTTCAGTTAATCTCATCGTCCATGTGGTTCGTTTTTCTTTCGCTTAAAGCTCCACCGTACCGGAATGATGACGTCGAAAGGCTTGAATGCACAATTCCAAATCATGAATTATTCACGATCTGCGCTGGATATTAACAATCCGGTATGGCAGGTAGGTACAACCTTCGAAGTTGAAGTTGGAGTTGATTTCTAAGCAACAAACAGGACTTGTTCGTTTCCTAGAAAGTGGCAAGAAAGATTATTCTGTATCAAAATAGTTCTTTCGATAATTTCTTTGTATGCAATCTGAATGAACTTGCAAGCCCAGTTTCAGTACAAACTTTTGCCGATGTAATCTTTTTTGCGATTTTTTTGGCAGTCGGTAACTACAGTCAGTTTTCCGTTTGGCTCGTGGTTCCAGCAGTCAGCGTGTCGCAGGACGTTGAACTTGCCAGGGGCTTCTTTTTTTCGTGGGCCGTTGTTCAATGTTTGTAAGAAAATTGAGAATGCATCAGCAACGTTCAGCTAGCTAAAAGGAAACAGCAAACTTGCGAGTAATTTGTCATCGAATGAAAACGCAAACACAGGCAACTTATTTGTTGGGTCACGATTTGTGCTAGCCTATTATAATTTATTGGACGCATTTTATGATATCATACCATACTTCTCTACGTATGTTCCAGCTAATGATTAGCAGCTGCCGTATACGGGTGCGATGAAATTGCTCAATGTTATTCTATAGGTGATTTTAGTACAAGCTTGTTCTTTTCGAGAAATTACCTAATGTTATGGTAGCTTAGCGTTTGAGGCACATCTATCTCCGTTTCGTTGGGAAACGTGCCGCCAGAGCTTCCAACGAAATATTTGTTTAATAAGATCTCTCGGATAGGTTGACAGTAATCGCTTTTAGCAGTTGATTGATTCTGAGTTGAAACATAATTAAAAGACAA